TTTTCTGAAGACGGTTGATTAAGCCCCACTTCAACTGCCAGTAGTTTTGATTACTTTGGGGATTTCGTAATATTTGGCTTGACAGTAGGGTAGTAGTTTTTATTCTTCGAGTGTGTGCTTGTATTATTAGCTTTGGGGATGGATCATAAACCGAGTGTGTTGACTGCAAGTTACGAGGTCGGGAGGTTGCTTGGTCAAGGGACTTTTGCTAAGGTGTATTATGCAAGGAGCATTACAACAAACCAGAGTGTAGCAATTAAAGTGATTGATAAAGACAAGGTTTTGAAAGTTGGCCTTGCTGATCAAATCAAGAGAGAAATTTCCGTGATGAGAATTGTTAGACATCCGAATGTCCTTCAGCTTTATGAGGTCATGGCAACTAAAACCAAGATCTTCTTCATCATGGAATATGCAAAAGGAGGTGAGCTCTTCAACAAGGTTGCTAAAGGAAGGTTGAAGGAAGACGCTGCTCGGAAGTACTTCCAACAACTGATCAATGCTGTTGATTTCTGCCACAGCAGGGGTGTTTACCAGCGGGACATTAAGCCAGAGAATTTCTTTTAGATGAAAATGAGAATCTAAAGGTTTCGGATTTGGATTAAGTGCTCTTGCTGAATCCAGGCGCCAAGATGGTTACTTCATACTACCTGTGGAACTCCTGCATATGTTGCTCCTGAAGTTATTAACAGGAAAGGGTATGATGGAGCCAAAGCTGATATCTGGTCTTGTGGGGTGGTTCTATATGTGCTATTGGCGGTTATCTGCCATTTCATGATTCGAACCTGATGGAGTTGTACAGGAAAATCGCTAAAGCTGAATTCAAATGCCCTAATTGGTTTGCCCCAGAAGTTAGAAGACTTTTGTCCAAGATACTGGATCCAAATTCCCATTACAAGGGTATCCATGGCCAAGATTAAGAAAGTTCCTGGTTTAAGAAAGGATTGAACTCCAACAAACAGAGAAAACTGGAAGAAACTGAAACCAAAGCTGAGGCTCCTTGAGTAGAGATGGATCAGGTCCTTCTAGCTATGGTAGCAGCATGCCCTCCGAGGAAGCAAAACAAGAACAACCGATGAAACCTTCAAACTTGAATGCATTTGATATAATCTCTCTCTCACCTGGGTTTGATCTATCTGGACTCTTTGAAGAAGATTTACTGAGAAGAGAAACCAGTTTACTTCTAGACAGCCTGCATCGGTCATAATTTCTAGACTTGAGGATACCGCCAAGCTTCTGAAAATGAAGGTGATGAAGAGAGAACCAGGGCTACTGAGGATGGAAGGAGTTAAGGGAGGTAGAAAGGGTTTGTTGACCATTGATGCTGAAATCTTTGAAGTTGCACCTAACTTTCATTTGGTGGAAGTGAAGAAATCAAATGGGGATACAATGGAGTTCAGAAGGTAGTGAAAGATGGCATGCGATCTGCACTGGATGATATTGTCTGGGCTTGGCAGGGTGAAAAGGAACCACCCCAGCAGCAGGAAGAAGCACAGTATCTTCCACCGCCACAGCAACAGCAACAGCCGCTGCAGCAATGATACAGTGACCAGAATAGCTCAGCAACTCACTCTAGTCCTTTGGTGAGATACTCGCCGCTGATTGGCAGTTTCTCCGAAATCTCATCTCTGTATAATTTTGTGAATTGGCAAAGCTCTTCACTTTTTGCTGTTGTGTTCATTTGTTTCATTGTTTGTGTCCCCTTTTTGACGTTTTGCTGTGCTTCAGCTTTAATGTATGTATGTATCTGGAATACCCCCGAAACTCTTGTATTGATAACTGCGTTATCGAATCTATATGGTGAAGTATAAAAGGCAGTTACAATAACCTCTTTAGTATCCGTCCATATGTTCACTCTTAGCTTACAAACATTGAGACGATAGACGATTGCAGCATTCGAAATAGGATTATAATTCACTCTTAGCTTATTATCAGTCCAACCAAATCGTTGGACAAAACTGTGGATCTTGCTAATGTCAAGTCAAGTCGATGATTTTGGGAGAAACAGCACCAGAAAATCTTGACCTCTTGCTGAATGGCCACATTGTGCATTCTGGAGATGGGGACAACAGATCTATGACCTCAATTTGACGACCACAACTGCGGATAGCTGCTGCTGCGTTTCCGCCAGCAACAGCAGCACTACTGGTTGATTCTTTCCTTTTAATGGATCCCAGTTTTGAATCACTCCCATCATCTATCACCACCAACACATTCCCATCTCCCATATCTCTAAGAACAGGAGCAATTCTTCTTCCGGGAATACTTTCGAAGTTGGAAGTATCCATATGATGATCTAGTTCCGAGTCAGGGGAAAAGCTTGTGTGTCTCCAGTCTGGCTCTTCATCGTACCATCCCCAGTTTTCTTTGTGACCAATGTCAATGCTACCTGCATAGTCGACGGCAATGTGATGAGCTACTGCATCAACCGTGGAGCTTTCTACCTCATTTCCACACATATCGCTTCTGGCATCTGATTCTTCATCATCTTCACCATTTCCCAATCGTTCTTTGCCTCCAAATGAACTCTGCCCTTTTCCGCCTTCCTCACGTTCAACCACATTCTCCTCTGCAATTCCACTCAAGTCACTGCCATTCTCCCACGCATTGTCATCACCAAAGCGATTCTCCCCTCCATCTTCCCCGTCGTCTAGCAAACCGTCATCAAATGTTCCAGTGTAGCAAGGGAGGTCGTCCATGGGACAAACTTGGACCTTCATATGCTGTGGCAGACTAGGCAAACCAGGGGAACAATTTTCGTACTTCGTCGAGAAATAGTTTACAGTCAAGTTCAATCTAATCACACAGAAGATAGAAACACAACATTAGTTGAAGGCCCTCCTATCTAACTAAGAAACTCCACAAAAGCAAGCATATTGAAATCTGTTATCAGTCAGTTATCACACCTCTGCCAAGGAGGAAGGCCAAGCATAGTGTAGGCAAGTTTGATATTATTAGCCACTCCAGAGAAGGATTTGAAACTCAACGCGGCCTCCCTAACGGCTTTCGATTCCCTTGGATGCTGCCACGCCCACTCAAACTGGAGAGCAGAGACTTGAGTTGGGAAGCCATAGATGCAGAACACCATTGCCAAGGGGCGTTTTCCCTTTGTCCTGAACGCCCCACACTTGATTTCCCCATTGTGCTGCCTGATTCTACGACGTGGATTAACTGTAAATCTGGAAATGGCAAAGAATCAAATCGATCAGCGATCATTTGAGGAGAAACCAATCAAGATCGGAGTTGAATATGAAGGGAAATGGGAAAAGGCCGCTGCTTTTCTTTCTTAGGTGGTCCATGTTTCAAATTGGGGAACAGGGTTTTGAAGGGGAAAACTAGAAGAGTGAAATCGGACGATGAATTTGAGGGATCTGGATGAAGAGCAAAGAGATAAGAGTTTACGAACCCGATATAAGTGAAGTTTTTGGAACGAGGAGAGAGGGAAGTGAGTAGGTAACAAGCATAGAATCTATTTCCTCCATTGTCATCTTCTTCGATGTTTCCCGTTCCGTCAACTTCCTCTGCTTCTTCTACTTGATGCGGTGCAGGTATTTGGGTTTCGGTCTGCCGCGGCTTTCTCTTCCACTTTGATTTGCTGTTTGACGATTTCCTCGGCGCCATTGCTCCCTCTCTCTCTGGGGTTCTGGCTTTTCCTCGGATGCAATTCGACCGTTGGGCGGCCCATTTATTCACGTGACTAGTGCTCTAACGGCCAAAGCAGATACAATTAAAAATATCCAGCAATTAGGAAACGGAAACGGAGAAATTAATAAATTTTTCACCTTTTCTGATCGAAAATGGTTTTAACAGAAATATTTAAAGAAATAAAATAAATTATCTTGTAAACAATTCGAATTCAAAATCCCACATCTTTAAATTTGAATTTTATTAGGTTTTTACAAAGTTTCAGTTTTTTTAATACGTGGAACACCCTCTACGATCACCACTTTAGTGATGTCAGAGTCGGACCAAACTACGGGGCATGCAACCCGTTTGCACGGCTGAAGCCGATCTTGTCTACCTTCGGGAACATCTAGAAGACATAACACTGATTTGAACTCAGGATCCCGTCATCACAAGTCGGACCCGCCCCTACAAATTGGGTTATATCATATATGACCTTTGGTCTCTTGGTTTCAATCTTATATTGATTATATCTTTAGTTTTTGTATAAATTTGTCTTATTTTATTTTTCATTGAATTTGTAATCTATATTGATGATCAAAGTGGAAGAAAAACCTCATAGTTCAACATAAAACTTCACATCTTGCTACCTTGTGAACAAATCCAAAGAAAAGTTATCTATACAAATAATCTACTCAAGTATTAAAATTAATGAAAAATAAGAGGAAAGTTAACTATTTCCGATCCTAGTCCTTCTTTGATCGCGCCGGCTGTTCCAGATCATAAAGATCCAAAAACAAAAGTTCAGATGCATTTCTTAAGGCTCCTCCATGTCATAGGATGCACCGTTCCTTCCAGAATTGGCTTCCAAGAAAACACTAGAGATATTGTCTTAAATAAAACTCTTCCAAAGCTTTGTAACAACATGAACATGACCTTCTGTAAAAATCAGTAAATCATTCGCAACATTTGATGAGTCAACCCTATTTTCTGACATTGAGGTTGATAGATATCAAATACAGACTAGACAACATCATTCATGATTGAAGATAATGCCTCCGCTACAAGAGTAAACAAGTTTGGGGGAAGTTATCCACTGTATGATCCTTTGCTTTGCATAGAAAAACTCGTTTGACCGAGATACTAAATCTCACCATAGACATACCCACATACACTAATCTATGAAAAATTTTGTAGGAAAGACCATAACAGACATATTCATCAAGAGATATCCAATTGACAAAATCAAATGCCTTCACTATAGCCACTTAAAGCATCACGACAAGCGAGATTTTACTCTGGTGGCAAGTGACTAACTCTTTAGTCGTAAGAATATTATCGACAATCATTCTATCTCTCATAGAAGCATATTGATTTGGGCTATGAAAGTCCCCCAATACCAATCTAAGCCTTTTAACAGGGATTTTTTAGACTACTTTGTAACTCACATTGACATAGGATATAACATCTAAAGTCCCTAAGTTTTTCGTAATGGAGTTTGGGAAAAAGAGAAACTGCCATAAAATTGACTAAAGTAGGCATCAAACATGTTTAAAGTAGGCACCAAACCCCTTTTAAAAGTCTGCAGAAAAACCATCAGAACCAGGTGTCTGATGAGGATCAAGGAAAAAGTGGGCGACCCAAACATCTTTCGTCGTACCCTCATAACATAAAAAAATTGTTCTTCTTTCTTCCTCAATCTTTTAGTGAGCTATTCTTCTAACTAAACTCTATTCAGACTATAAACAAGGATTGGATGCGCCCCTCTACCATATCCGTACAAAACAATAGCGCATTTATACAGAATGGTAAAGGGGCTCCTCTAGAATTTAAATCTCTAATTGATGATCATAAAATGACTAGAAAAATGAAGGTAATTTTGAAATCCTTACCAACTTGATCTTGTTGTCGGATCTCCACAAGGCAAGCGTAAAAGGAGGAGAAGGAAAGGGAAGAAGAGGTTCAAACCGCAAAGCCCAAATGTGGTGGTGGAGTATGTACCTTAGCTTCCATTTCCGAGTCGGATGCACAATGATCTCCTTGAAGTGGAGTTTGGGAAGTTCATGGAGATGTTCATGAAGATACTCAAGGAGCTCCAAATCAACATACCTTTGTTCAGGCCATGTTACATATGCCAAAGTATGGTAAATTTCTCAAGGACGTTATCTCATACAAGAAGAAGGTTGTGAGATCTCTCCACAGTGATGATCAATGAGGAATGCTCAATCATCCTGCAAACATGCTTCCAGAGAAGCAGAAAGGTCTAGGGAGTTTTACTAGCACTGTTCTCATTGGTGCATTAATTGTAGACAGATCTTTAACGATTTTAGGAGCAAACATTAATGTCATTCCATACAAACTGTTCAAGAAGCCTGGTTATGTGAACCCACTACTACTAGGAAAAGTATTCAACTTGCTGATCAATTTGTAGTACATTCTAGGAGAATAGTGGAGGACCTCCTAGTTAAAGTTGACAAGTTTTTTTTCGCATGGATTTTGTTATTCTTGATATAAATGAAGACGTGGATGTACCCCTTATCTTAGGCGAGCCCTTCCTAGAACAACCAAGGTTTTAATTGATGTGTATGATGAGACTTTGATCTTAAGGATGGTGAGAAATAAATACAATTTTTTACCAATAACATGAAACATATCCTTATGCGTGATATTGATAATGAGTGTAATGCAAAATATGTGTTTATGTCCCTTACTTTAGCGATATCATCTATTTATTTAGTATCTCACCACGTCCATGATAGTGACGAGGATCCTGATGATGGTACTGTTTTGTAGGGAAAAAGGCGACCCCGTTACGAACCAGAAAGCCTAAATCACCCAATGAGAAAGGTAAGGATGGGTGGCACCCCATGGCAAAGGAATCTAGGCCTATAAGCAAGAAAACTAGAGATTACTAAGATGGTATCGGATCCTTAGCCACGACCACCTTGGCGATTTGCATACTC